GGAGGTAGATTCGGACGATCCTGACCATCCAGATGCCTGGCAAAAGGGTATTTTTCACAATTAGTTCAGATTTTCAACGCTCGGGGCAAGCTCTTTTTAAAGGGGGGGGTGATGTGACGGTTATGGTCACGAGGGCTGGATGTCACATGCTCGCTTAGCGAGGCGCTAGCGCGCACGACCTGTATTTAGTTCCCAGCTCTCTTGAGCTCTCCTTCTTTCCTCGTCTTTTGTCCTAAGAATAGAGTGTTAATTGTTCTGAGTTCTACCTGAAGCACGTCTGTCACAAAAAGTGGGGCAAGTCAATTGGCTAGCTAACCGAACCCCTGACACCACTGTTCGTAGCGAAAAAGTGTAAACAAACTCATTCATATCTGAGTTTGCTAACAGCAACAAAAACAAAGTATGTTAAGGATAATACGATCAAAGAAAAGTGTCTGTTAATTGTTCTAGTATTGCTTTGATTGTGGGTGTGAAAATTGGCGCTGCAGAAACGTTAGCATCTACGTCGACTGGTCAACGTAAAGTTTTCAAGCAACCCTTGTACCATAAAAGCATCGTGACATTCTCTTTGATCCCTGATACATCTTCGCAGCTTGTCTACTATCCTATCACTGTCTAAACAACCTGTGAATCTCTCTTTCTTAAGCTTTCTTTACCTGCAATCTGTGTCGCTTGTAAGTATTGTCAACCTATTATCCTGTTTGCAAGAAACCATCATTGACATAATTTGATCCAGACACAAATAATGGCTTCTAGCACCCTCCAAGCTGCAGCCAATGAGGCCCTCAACAACTGGATCATTCGTGAAGGCATCATCAATGCGTGCATTCATGAGGGAATCAACCCAGGAACGGCGCGGCAGACATTGGATATCAAGCTGCCAGCGGCTCTAATACAGACGTCCGCCTCATTCAAGGATGATAGCCTTCGCTATATTCTGCCTGTCGTTTTGGTCACCAAGGATTTGGTTTTTTTGGCTTCGCTTGCCCACGTACTACCTATCATCAGAACCCAACAACCCATCGCCAACGCTGCTCTGCAAATCACATTGAACCAAGTCAGCGTTGGTACAAACAATGCTCCATCATTTTCCGCGGTCCTGAGAGGCAAAGACTTACCAGTTCTTATTGCTATGATCAACGGTCATAATTTTGGCCCAATCAATAGACCATCCCACCTCCGCACCAACAAAGACATGTTTACACACATTGTCTTGAAGTTTAATACTTCACAGCAATTTTGGAACACCAAGGCGGCGAAGGAAACAATATTCAATGGCGTAAAGGGTATCAGAAAGATCCCTGTCAATACAAACGTTATGGTCAGCGTACAACTCGAGATTGCTGGAGGCTTAGGATTAGAGCAAATTTTAGATATCCAAACCAACACCAACGGAGCCGCGATGACCCCAGTAGGTTCTGAAGCCCTAGCAACACAGGCAAAGGCAAAGGGCATCATCGAGTTACTATCACAATCACAAGACAACTGCAGACGGGCTATGGGACAGTTCGCTCTTGCTGCATACCTTTACGGCCGAGATATTAAAGGTGGCCGAACTGGTACTCATCGGCCAAGCTGTGTCTTCATGGTAGAGCTCTACGTCCTTGCGATGCAAGTAAGTGAGGTTTCCTGGCAAAAATCTGCCGAAAATACCTCAGAGAAGGATAGCTGGAGAGATCACTCTTACAGATTTGCCCTTGCTGCGCAGCATGAGAGAGACTCTATCGCAGCCCACCAAGCTTCTATCGCGGTCCTCGGACCCCTCATCGTCAAGTATGCAATGAACTACATGGTTGGAAATGTGAGCCTAGGTTATCATCATACAGACGCTATATTGCGACAAGAGTTGCGGAGATGGCCCGGCTGGGGTGTCTTCGTGGAGGCTCGCGAGGAGATATGGAGAATGCGGAAGGCCAAGCTAGACCTTGAAATTGCCCAAATGGGAAACAATTAGGAGTATCGGCATCTTGCAGATACGGAAATCTCTTGGTAATCTTGATTCTCGGCAGCTCAGAAATTAACGGCAGATTACTACCTCTTGTACTTTATTCTATGGTTTCATGCGAGGATTAGATGACGGCACTGTTGATTCTCACATATATCTGCAAGTGCATTTCTCAAATTCAATGATTTACTGTGATTCCTTCCCAAGAACTTGGGAATGTGACGGTGAAAAATGTCTGTGAGGCAATCATTGCTCCCCCCTTTTCTTCTCAGTTCTTCGCGTATAAGCGAAGGTATGTTTGTGGTCTTGAGAACGCTAAGCTGATACCCGAGTACGATATAAATAGAATACGTTGTTGGCCTTACCGACTCGAAAATACGGAACCTATAATAAAGTTTTCCTCGGCTACTTTGTGTTCGTTCTAAAAAGCCCGAGAAACGTCAATGAACTTCTTTCATTCATCCTACAGTATAGGTATTTGACTTGAACTGTAGACTCTGTCATTTTACGTCGTCGTCTGATGCTTTGGAGTAAGCCGCACACATCCGCAAATATTGGTCTCACTGCTCTGAAGGTGCTGTATCTGGCAGAACAATTGTGGGCTGCCTAACTCAGAAGCGGTGTAAACTCGAGCGCATGCTCGCTATCGATGAGTAAACGCAAGAGAAGGTTTCGGTTCTTAAATTCTCCTCAATCTTTGAGATGTATATATTCCATTGCCTTCAACTGGTCCGTGAAAAGATTGTTAGTGCTGGCGTTCACCGAGTGACAACCAGATCTAGATTTAATGGTCAGTGATACTGTACACCTGGCAGACGGATCAAATTGCGGCGAAGCTCCAGCTGAGCGGGATATTTGGTGTTCCTCGAATCAAATACAGCCATTTTCAGGGCGCACGAGGGGCAGAGACGAAGCCTGGACATCAGGTCGTATTGCGCAGCACATCGCTGTTGCAGTCTCCATCCTCCATTCCCCAAGACTTGCATCACGGTTTGTCCTGCTCTCTCTTTTATTCTTCCTTCTGTCTCCAGCTCCATATAGTGTGGCGAATCTCATCTGCTCTCTTGCGCTTCCGACGTCTTCGGGCTCTATGCGATACCCGCCCGCTCACCAGTAGCGTGGGAGAATGAGCACCAGCATTGTACCTCCTGTAGCAAGCCTCCTCAAATCAATTGAGTCAGGCATAAAACTAGCCAAAAGAACCGCGAGATTTGCCGATTCGGCCAGGCAAGAGCAAACGAGAGTGATACTCGAATCGTCTCCGACTTTGCAATCAATTCTACAAGCAAACGCGAAGGCAATCATTGATGCTTACGCGGAAAGTTCGGAGATCTGTGGTCAGGAGTTCTTTTCTAGAGCCTTGTCAGAGGATCGTAAGTTGCTTCACTCTTCGTCTTGGACCGATACTAATAACCCTCGAGAAGTAATACAGGCCCAATTTAAAGACTTGCGAATAAAACTCTTTGATCGAATCGAAGGATGCTGGGATTTTGACGAGGAATCATTCGAGGTTGATGCGTACACGAATCTTGGAAAAGAAGTTCAACAATGTCGCGAAACTTGTGTTCGCATTTTTTCCACTCTGCGGGATAATCATTTCCAGGCTTCCTTTCAGGGGGTTCAGCAGCCAGCCCAGAGAAGACATGGTCCTCCCAAACCCGAGAGGAGAGCATTTCCATTCTCGCCTGATGATATCGGTCCATGGATTGCCGAAAGTTCTTCTCACTCTGGGCCGAACGATCTCACGCAGCGAGCTTCTTTTGAAGCATCACCTATTTCACCGCGCTCGATATTAGACGAGACGGACATCGTTCCGTACATACCAAAAGAGATCGTTCAATCCCGTATTGCCGAGAATGAAGCGTTCTTGGAGCGAAGACGCCAATCGAGAGTACTGTTCCAAAATGAGCTCAGAAAATCCGTAGGGTCTCTCGAAACTCGGAATAGCGAGATATCCATAACAGATTCACGACTTTCCCGGAGCAGTTCCAGCACATATGATTCGTTAGTTACAAGGAAACGTATTCAAGGACAATACTCTCACGCAACTCGGAGTTCAGTCGCTAGTTCTGATCGCTATTCAAAAAGTCCAGGAGGCCAAGAACTATCATCTCCCAGAAGCCCGCCTGCGAATCCTGCCGCTGAAAGGCGAACTTCGGATAATATTGGCAGTTGGGGCTCTTCTGGAGTTTCTCTGTCTTCGACTCTTCGGGTTCCTGGATTCGGCGCTGGCATTGAACCTGGCCTGGAAGTATTAACCGCCGTGGGCAGTGATAACGAGAAAATGCTGGTAGGGGAAGATGTAATCTTTAACCAATCAAAATTGCCGGTGTCAATGAATACAGCAGGTAGTCCGATTTCTCATGATGCATCTTTCTTCAGACTTGGTGGTTTCTGCGAGGGAGCAACTTCAACGTTGAGAGGGCAAACTGGATTCAAAGTAGTCAAAAAGCCTTCGGTGAGTATTCTGGTTTTTTTTTTCCTTTTTTGAAAAGGAGTAAAGCTGACAAAGACAGCAGGGTATTTACGGCTCTATTAACTCTGCTCGATGTGTGACCTGCTCCTACGAGGTTGCTCTCGAGCTTGTTGAGAAGGACAAATTACTAAGCCGTATGTGTATTAACCTCTCGTTTGAAAAAATAAAAACAATTACTAAATGTACTCAGGTGATGGAATATATGGAAATTGTGGGATTAGATGGAGACAAAGATTTCTATGGAAGAGCCACATCAAAACAAACTCTATTGATGAACCATTTTATGCTGTTGGTAATCCCCGTCCGCCTCATGAAATCCTAATTATTAGCTGACAAGACAGTGTGTATTTTGTATACAAGAAAACAAAACGATCGAGGAACATGACGCCACAGTTTTCTTCTCGGTCAAGAAACTATTCCAACATCTCGCTAGACATTCCCGTCCTTTGCCAGATGTTCCAGGTGTGATAACCATCTATGGTCATCAAGACCCAAATATTGTCGATTTCGACATTCATCTCACAAGTTTTATACTACTTGCATCTCAATTCAGTATATCCGACATTGCTTCCAAGCTTTCCAACAGGCCAGCAGCTCAATCTACAGCTACCTTTAATCCAAAAGCACCCACAGGCAAAAACTATAGAGATCCAGATGGGAATGTGTCTTTACAATTTGCGGCAGGAGCTCGTATCGTTGGGATTACGTACCCAGATCGATATGGTGGCGCTTGGGCAACAGGTTACCATGACGGAGACAGGGGTAGGCATGATATTTTCTTCAGTTTGACTCTCCAAAGTCTTGATAATTGAGAAGACTGTCATCTTGCACATCACGCTCAAAGATGATCCAGGGATAAAAGTATATGCTAATGCCTTACAGGTAGTTTCCCGGCCGATAAAATCTCCCTACAAATACCCGGAAAAGACGAGGTACTTATGAACTCAACGAGCACCCTGAACGCTATGGCAAAATGGGATTTCAAGCCCAAAGATGCAAAAGATGGCAGGTGGCTCAAGTTCAGTAAAGGCGACCGGATTAATATGATCGACTACCGATTTATCGATCAGTGGTGTTGGTCGGGTCAAAACACCAAAGGGAAATGGGGACTCTTCCCTGCAGCATTCGTTCGGGATTTGCAAGATAGTGCTGGTTCTCTCCCTCAACTGGGTCCTTCTCGAAGCTCCAGCTCAAAGAGTGCGTTCAGTAGTATCATGTCTATGACCCGAAACAAGTCTAGACATGAACGAAGCGGCAGTGTGAAAAGCACCGGAAGTGGTGGGCCACAATCGCCTCAGTCATTAGAGACTGGACGTTTCCATGGTTGGAAAAGTTGAATCATCCTTGGGGCAAACAATTTTTTCTTTACCGGAGTATTTTATAGTAATTAGATGGAGAAGCAGTTTTGTTTTGGGCCTCTATGGAAAACGCTCTTGGTTAGCTTGAGCGCAGGCGCTGGTGGTCGGAATTTGGTTGTTAGTTGTTGTCATGATACCCGGTCTTTTCTTAAATCACGATTTGATGTTAATAAGCTCTGTATTTCTAACAAAAAGATTGAATTCACCAAGTCTCCTTACTATATATCTTTATTCACTTTTTAAGTGTGCAGGCGTAATGTGCGAGGCCACTTATGACTTCTCAGCCACCCCGACCATTTCCCACTTCTAGGACCTCCTCCAAGCAGCCATCACATCCTTTCCTGACTCTGACACCATGACACGACCAGCCTGATTTCTCATATTCCACATATTTGGGACCTCAAACGCATTTCGGACCTCTCGCGTCTTTGATCTTGGTGAGCTGTAGTCGGCTCTCAGCGGATCGCGCCCTCCTTCCCGTCGTCACCTAATCGCACGTTTCCTCAACCATAGCAAGACACGGTTGACCACGACCCTTTGGAGATATACCTACGAAACTACCGAATTCACCTCTTGGTCAGCGAAGCACGGTTATTGTGACACGCTCCTCCAAGATTTCGTGACAGAGCGCGCGGCTACGAGGACGTTGACAACGCCTCTCACCAGGAGGGTATTCTGCTTCTGCTTCCCGACCATATCACACATCTTTGAATTGTTGCTAGCGCACTTTTCACGATGGTAACGCCACCTTTTCCTTTTAAGAAAGGACTGCTGGGGATTTCACCATATGAGATGAAGGACTTATTGAAGTCTATTGCCGAAGTACAAAACCCGAAAGTTGGTGAGGGTCTCCGCCAAACCAGCCTTTCTGGTGGTCCTCCTACGATGAAGCTGTCAAGTTCTGGCCAGTGGAAGCGATCTCAGGAAGGTTCGGAAGACGATATCGCCAGGAAAAAATCCAACAACAGATCGAGTTTTACGAATATTGAGGATGCTAAAAGGGAAGCTCTGGAATCGGTTGATGTACAAACTATCAACTCGGTAAAGGACCTTGAAGTACTGGTTCGCGCCCATCCGGGATCGATGGAAGAAAAAGTTGAATACGTTTTCCAATTGCGGAGAAGAATGAGAGAGGTTTGGAGAAGAAAGTGTTGCGTCGACTATAAGTATGTAAGAGTTTCAGTTGTTGTTCTTTGTATAGCACTCTCTGTTTTCCTACCAAGATCCCCTGATAATCACAAAATCCAGTGCAGTTACTCAAGATTTAGTCGTACTTTGATTGGTCCCTCAGGTGCCCATCACAAAGACTGTAGTCTGGTTTTTTGCGGTGTTCTTTTTGCGCAAGTATGGGGATTTTACTAACCTCGCTCTAGCAACAACCCAAACATGAAGTTTATACCTGCGACTGCTTGCAATATTGGGTCAGATCCGCCCGTATTTCTTCCCCCATGTTCTTGTGATTGGACTTGTAGGGGCGAGATTCTCCATGGCGTAACTCCACTACCTATCATGTGGTTCGATTTGCCTCGCTACATAGACCTTGATGGCATTTATGAATCGAACCCGTTCTACCCCAGAAAACAATCTGGAATTTTCTACAATTATTGGGGTGGATTCAGTCTCACGTAAGTAAACTGGCTCTCGTCGAAAGAATCTCCAAGCTGACTTTTGAGAAGGTTCGTACGAAACTTTATGAGATTACCTAAAGAGTTGAGACATGCAATTTACGAGCTAGTCGCTTTCTCATGGGTACCAGACAAGCAATACCCATTAGTGCAAACGCAGACCCCCAGACTTAAATTCGCACGTAGGAACATCCAGCCCATATTCGGACCGGTCAGCAAAATAAAAGGATACGACCAGTACTCACAGCTTTCGCACCATATGAAATATAAAGCGGGAATGTTGGACTATTTCAAGGAAGAAGAGTACCGAAATCTGGAAGCATTCTGTGGCGCTCTCGCGATTTTTGAGGGTCGAATGTATCAAACAAAAAGTACGAGAGTCCCACTTCCCATATACTTTGCCGGCAAATCTGTCTGTAGCGTACCTGGCAAAAGTATCGTGGGGGAACATGTCGATCTTAGGAGGGAGGAACAAAGATCTCTCGGTATCTTGAATGATTTTGTGGCATGGTTTTGGGAGAATGTTGTTGTGGATATGTCTTCTGAGGTTTCAGGAGCATTTTATCGTGACCAGGACCCAACCAACAAGGTAAGTCGTTTGAGTAACCTTTAATATCTTCACTGACCCGAATATTCATTTTAGGGAAAAGAAATCATCATTCCAGCTAAGATTCGCAGACGGATGTATAAGCCAAGAGAGCTACAACACACAAGTCCATGCGACCAAGCCAGTCATCACCGCTGGATCTCGCATCTCACATTTAGCACTCAAGCTTCACACTCTCGTCGTGGTGCTAACACTATTCAGCAAGAGTTTCGAGGTGTTATGGATGTCTGCGATTACATCAAGTTGAACCTTCCTTGCCTGCGTACTCTCCGAGTATTCCTTCGCATTAGTCCCAGACAAGCTCGACAGGTCATAAGTTCTCAGGGTAACCTACCATGGATTCAATCTATTCGCAGCCTTCCAACTCTCGAGAAGTTCAATTATCACGTTCTAGTCGAGAACCCGCCATCATGGAAAAACTCAATGGAGAGCAACTCTACGGAGACATTGCTTGAGTTGACGAAGGATGTGACGAAAATCTTGGAGTTGTGTATGCCTAGGATTTCTGCGTGAATACGGTTGATCATAGGAGACGTGGTTGGCCAAGGTAGCTAATTTACGAGAATGTCCAAACTTAGCTTGTTTGATTGGGCGATTATTTGGAAAGTTGCTAGGTTTTCTTATTTAGCTGTAGGCGGAAGTAATGGAAGTCAAGATATATGTGTGGTACTGTACTAAAGCATTGCTTTCTCAAAGGCGAACTACCTGATGTCTGCCCACTTATTTACCGAGTACTATATAGCCCTTTGTTACGCTTTTGCACTGACTCTTAAACTGTAACATAAATTATAGATTTGCTGCCAAAGAGTTGGGTGCTAAGATAAAACATCCAACAAATACGCAAGACCATGGGAGATCTCAGCATCTCAAATGAGCCGAGCAGAATAGTGACTGAGTAAGTTTTAGTCAAGGTAATAACTTTTATCACATCCACATCCGCTTTTAGTCTTCCAATGCGGTGGAGGATATCCATCCAGAATCATTATGAATTCCTTAAAAGGTCCTCTCACCTTCCAGCACTCAAGCCGCCAACCCAACAATCTTCTCCGCCATCTCCACCAACCCATCAGCAACAACATCCATCCTCTCATCAAAAATCTCCTCACAAGCATCCTTCTCATAAACCGTACAATACGCGCCCCGGAACCCCACCTTGACAGCCGCACTCACATCCCACATATGCGCCGCAGCAAACCACTTCTCATCGCCGTCCGCAAACCTCGCCAGCGCCGGCCGATACGCATCCAACGCCGGCTTCGCAACCCCAATACTATCACAACTAATGAAATTCTCTTTTGGCATCTCCATCCCGCCCTTCTCAAAATACCCCTGCACCCGCGGGATGTCCGCCGTCGTCAGGAGCCAGACTGTGAATCCCCCCTTTCTAAGCGTCTCAAAACACTCTTTCACGCCGTCCCGGAGAGTCAGCTCAGAGTAACTCTGAATACAAGCATCGCGTTGTTCTTCACTGATGAGTGCCCGCGCGTTGGGGATCCCAGCGAAAGAGAGCGTGCGGTAGAAGACGGCGCCCAGGATGCCTTTGTAGGGCTTGTAGCGTTCTGAGAGGGAGAGGAAGGTGAATTCTAGCTCGGAGGCGGTCATCCAGGAGTAGCCGAAGAATTGGGGGGTGATGGAGTGGGAGCGGAGGAGGGGTCCGATTGTGGTGTCGATTTTGGAGAAGAAGGCGTCGAAGGAGACGCAGGTTCCGACGACGTCGAAGACGATGTGTTTGGATTTGGAGTTGGACATCTTGATGTGTGCAGGTAGGTCTGGATGATGAGACTGGGAGTTGAGAAGTGTGAGTGGTTGTCTGGACGTGCTTAAAGAAATGTGAGGTGGCTCTGGTGTGGTTGATAGTTTCAAGTCGGAATTAGAATTCAAAGTCTTCGAATTTTGAATTCTCGACTTGATATATATTGAGTTGAGAAGTCGTAGTAACACAAGTGAGTCACGTTATCGAGATATTGACAAACGACGTTGATGGAACGAATTGCCAAGTCCCCCATCTTCGGAAGTCTCCAGTTTGACGTTGGAGATAGGCCAGCCGTGTTGCGGATACTCGAGTACCCTGGAATAGACACATCCCACTCTGTGGCAATTGGCCTTCAACTTTGCCCGATTCTTGTGCGGGGAATTACAACCAACAACCTTGAAAAATGTACCAACTCAATAAAGATCTATAAAGCTTGATTTTAGATAGACCTCGTATATTTTCAAGCATGGCTATGGTAAGACTTGTAGTTTCCTTAGATTTGGCTTTCGCATTGGAAAATATTGGCAAAATCCATCCATCGTTCAGGTCTAGAGACAAGAATATGCGGTTCTCTTCCTACAATGTTTCTTCACGACCACATGATATTCAACTTCTGCCATCCCTTCTCAGGAGTTGGTGGTGGTTCTGGGTTGTTATGCCACACATGAAGGAACCCACGAATGGGGATCTCCTTCAACGGGACAATACTGGTATTCTTGTACCACTTATAGCCAAAGTAGAGAACGATGATGATCGGGATATTAATATATGAAGAAACGAAAGTTTCGGTATCCCAATGGTTATGAATAAATGTGCTGTAACCACCCGTGAAAAGAAGGAGGATGAACAATATGAGAGAGGCCCAAGAAGCATAAGGTTGGAGAGGTGACGCCCATGGAAGCTCAGTATGACGATCAATCCCTTGAGCTTTGCAGCCGTAGTAGAAACGTAGGTAGACGATGATTATGGATATCCAATTCACGAGGGTAGATATCGATACGATTTCTTGTAGCCAAGTGAAGACGGTGCTGGCAGATGTGGAAAGCGTCATGTATCCTAATCCCATGAAGAGTCCGTAAAGACCAACACACATGTATGCGATACCGAAACGATTCATTTTCTTGAAGAATTGTGGTGCGTGGCCGTTGACTGCCATCCCGAATAATACACGCGAGCCGCCAAGTAAGCTCGAGTTTCCAGAGGACCAGGCAGAGGTAAGGATTACGGCATTGATTATTGATGGGACAACTTTGATGCCAGCTAAGGAGGCGGCAATGACGAATGGACTTTGAGCAGCTGTACCGGTTGAACGAAGAAGGTTGGGATTATCGGAAGGAACCATCTGCAAGAATTAGTAGATGAAAAGAAGCCTGAAGAGAAAAGGTATATGAGGATTTACATACCAATCCGACCATGAATATGCTCAAGATGTAAAAAATCAAAATCCGAACAAAGATTCGTCTCGCTGCTTGAGGGATTGCTCTTCTTGGATTCTGAGTCTCAGCAGCGGCCAAAGTGATATTCTCAATGCCAGAATAAGCGTATAGGGCATTGTTAAGTGTCGTCCAGAATCCCATGAAGCGTCCTAGAGATCCACCAACACCCAAGTATTGAACAAAAGGTCCTGGATTCTTCCAATATCTGAAGCCGATAGACTCGTGGTTTGGGCCACCTCCACAGGTGATGACCAGCGCCATAATGTTTATGCCAACAATGAGCATGATTTTCAGCATCGAAAAGCCGAATTCCAGTTCTCCATAAACTCTTACAAAGAGCAGTGCAGTGAGAAGCATGAGAATGGCGAACACAGTGATCCAGATGGCATTATTGATTGTGATCCAAAACTCAATTAAGACCGCGGCTGCTACAATTTCGGCAGGAATTGACATCATGTATGAATATACTAGATTCCAACCGTCTGCGAACGCTAATGCAGGATCGAAGAAGTGCTCTGCGTATCGAACAATTCCACCGTTCAGAGGGACTAGTGCCCCCATTTCTCCGCAGGCGAAAATAACGGTTGCCACAGCAAGACCAACCACCTTTTGACTCATTAGTATGATGGCAGAGATAGAGTAGAGGCCTGAAAGTTCTGTGTATCTTTTGAAAAGAAAAAAATCAACAACAGAATTGTAAAAGGCTTTCACGAACCGAGTATCCAAGGAAAGCACCTAGAGGACCGCTTCGTGCAATAGCTTTTCCAGAGCCGAGAAAAAGACCCGTCCCGATAGTCCCAGCAAGTGCAATCATCTGAATGTGTCGTTGTTTCAAGCCCTGTCTGACCTCGAGAACTTCATCGAAATTGCCCACGCAATGCTCGACATCTGCTCGTCGGTGGTCATCTTGAGCTGAGACATGTGGGTTCTTCTCGGTTGACGATGAAGAGCTATTTCCAGCTCCAAAGGAGATATCGGACTCTACTGCCTTTTCCATGACAAAACCAAAATATAGATACAAGTGGAAAAGAGCAGGACCAAGAAACAGACGAGAAAGAGGACATGTCAAGCACTATTAAAGAAGCTTGTCCATTGAGCTTATCTTGTTCTCCATCTTTCTCGTATCTTCGGGTAACAGTTGGGGGGAACATGTTGGTTGACATGAACGAGAACCTGCTTCAAACCTCGAATTTCTGATAGGCCTTGATGAAGTGTATGTACCTGGGTTGGATTGGGTGGGGGTCCATTTCAATCCCATTGATCACTTGAAATATATGGGTGGATACTGCCCACTTGGAGGGAGATCTGGACATCATTATCCTCGCCTACGCAAGGAAGATTTGTCCAAGAGTGCCAATATCCGGGGAACATCAGACTGTATCCAGATGTATGGTTACATATCGGCATTGCAAAATTTATCTTCTCCACTGCGATGGAGGCACTGGTTGCCCGTCATGGACATGGTCAGGCTTTATACTGTTCTTGGAGTAAGGTTGGCGTGCAGCGGAGCAGTTACCCTTAAGCACCCCTGCATCGTGATAAGGGAGCCCCTGAACTCAACAACCGAAATTCCGGCTCGGTACGAATGCAGACGGATCTGATAAGAGGCCAACATCGACTATTCATCGAGTCGTGAACAACCCCCCCAACTTCTGATGCAGCGTAGTAGTAGACCACAGATCGTGACATCGAACTTCAACGACCAAAAGTAGAGCGTTGCCCGTGGGTTATCGATTGCTCGGATCCGTCACCTCGCTGATCTCCGATGCCGTTCCAGTGAAGCGGTGAGCTGTATGGTCAAGCTTTCATCCCATAAGACATACGAGTTTACTCTTATAGTTTATGTATAGCCAACGACCCCTTTTAAAATGCCCATTCTCACATCGTGACCATTTCGTCTCATCAACCTTTTCTTGCAACCGAACTCATAAGATCGATCGTCCATTGCCTGGCCACGAAGATGGGGGATATCAATGAAGTCTCGGACGCAATCAACGGCTGTACTCTGTCACACAACGCACCACACAACTATCTCCCTGTACCCAATCCAACAGCAACTTTCTGGCAAAGTGAGCCATCCGTACTCCACGATCACCGAACCACAGAAGAGCTCCCAGAACACAGCGACGTGGTGATAATAGGCGCTGGTTATAGCGGCATCAGTACAGCCTACCACCTACTTAAAGAACCATCATTTGCTGGGAAGACAATCACCATCCTCGAGGCACGAGGCGCGTGTTCTGGCGCTACAGGCCGGAATGGTGGCCATCTCAGACCCGATCTGTACGGTCATATTCCAACTTTTGTGGAGCGAGATGGGGATGATGCGGGCGCCGAAGTGGCGAAATTCGAAATTGAGCATTGTTTTGAAATCAAGAAGGTGATTGAGCGGGAAAATATTGATTGTGATTTTACATTGACGAGAACGGTTGATGTCTGGTGTGATGAGGAGTCGGCGAGAGCTTCAAAAGTCGTATTCGATGACTTGGCGGGGAAGTTTGATTATATGAAGGATGCTGTCTTCTATACTGGTAAAAACGTTGAAGGTGTAAGTCAACCCCAATTTTCCAAATGCTATGACAGAATTGAAAGATACTAACTCCGTTACTCTAGATATGTGGGGTCAAAGGAGCGGTCGCCTGTGCAACATACACAGCCGGGACCATGTGGCCATATAAGTTTATTCTTCATCTTATCAAAGGTCTCATCGCCACTGGAAGGGTCAATCTTCAAACTCACACACCAGCGACATCAATGACCTCCTATTCTGACGCTGGCGTCTTCATCAACACCCCAAGAGGGAAGATTCACGCCAACCAAGTTGTCCATGCAAATAATGCCTACGTCGCCGGTCTTCTCCCGGAATATGCCCAAAACATCATTCCTTGTAAAGGAATATGTTGCCGCATCACGGTTCCCGAGGGCACCATCGCACCTCTTCTCAATGATTCATATATTAACCGTGAACCAAATAAGACCCTTCATTATTTAATACCTCGTCCGGATGGAAGTATCATTGTCGGTGGTGCAAATGCCATCTTCAAGCATAAACACCAAGAACAGTGGTATAACAATGTTGATGACTCTGTATTGATTGACGCAGCCAAAGATTATTATGAGGGCTATATGCAGCGAACATTCCGCGGCTGGGAAAATACTGGTGCAAAGGTGGATAAGATATGGACAGGTGTCATGGGGTATTCTTATGACACCAATCCTCACGTGGGCGCTGTACCCGACAGAAAAGGGCAGTATATTCTTGCTGCTTGGAATGGTCATGGTATGCCTTGTATTTGGTTATCGGGACGAGAGATTGCAAAGATGGTAGCACAGGGTCTTTCATTCGAAGAGACGTGCTTACCAAGATTGTATAAGACGACTCCCGAGCGTATATTGAAAGCTCAGAATGGGAGTGAAGATGAAGGGGATATCTTGACGACTGTTGCTTTCTCGGCCACAAAGCAATAAACGTAGCTACGGACCAACGTGTGCGGCATTTTAGCCAGTAATTTCTTTTTGTAGCAAGTGCTGCTACAATGGAATTCTTGTACATAATAGCAACATAGAATAGAGACGCTTATAATATACGATACGGAATAATGGAAATAGTAACCCAAACCACGTTGACACGAGTATTGCAAACAGCCAGGCCACTGCCCTGATCTATATTATAATGTTATGAAGTAAATTATACCTATGACAACGGAGCTACCCACGTTTGTGAGTTATAATCAACCCTAGAGACCCCCAAACTGAAGCAATGCCACGTATTTATTACCTACCTCCGTACTTGACCCCCGGTAAACGATTTCATTATCATTTACCCTCACTAGCAAAGTCCCAAAAAAGCAACATACAAGAATCCGCAAAACCCCCAACAACCCAACCAAAACCGACCTCTCCCACCCTCTCCTCAGCCCACCTCACCAACAACCTCACACCCTCCCAAACCAAAGCAACAAAACACCCCTCCTTCTCCCTCAAAGAAACAGAAAACACGCCCAGTTCACCTTTCCAACCCCCAAAAAATTCCCACAGGCCCCTCCAAGAGGGAGACCCGACCCAGGTTCCGAAACCCAGACGAACTGAATTTTTACAATTTTCGGGCTAGGAGGTTTTTGCGGAGAACTTCCTTACAAACTCACACTTGACACACCTAATCATATCTAAAGCAAGCAGATTAGTATCAGAAAAATCCCAAAAGCTGCGTTGTGAGTGTGGGGTATTGGAGCGGGTGTTTTTTGAGATAGGTGGGGAGTGGTGGGTGAGGTTATATTGTACTATGGGAGAAGGGGAGAAGGGGATAAGTGAATGCTGGGTAGATGGAAGGTGCAGGTAAGGTGGTGGTGGAGGGAGAGAGAGGTGTTGGTTAGGAAGGAGCGAGGCTGGGGTGGAACTTGCTTTGTATGGCTATGTGCTAAGAAGGCTTATGTTGGATGAGGAACATAAATTCCCTGAAGTCCTGTAGTGGGGGAATTAGAAGGAAGAGGTTTGGAAGCTGAAAAGATGGGGGTTTGTTACAAGTTATCGCTGGACTTTATTTACTTAGAAAAGATCGCTACCAAGTATGAATTGTAAAGACAATTTTCTACTACCTGCTAGAGCTGAACATCTGAGGCCGCGAAGATAATCACAAAAGAACAGAAAGAAAGAGAGGCATGCTTAATATATCCAGTACAACGCAAATTCAGTCTCTTTCGCCAAAACATTTCAAATTATACCTACCTCCCTCTATTCCAGCAAAGTGGCCGAGACTCTTTTCTTTTTCTTTCTCTTCACGTAAGTAGATTAAACATATCAAAATATTCTAACAGCAAATCTTTTCAGAAAACCACTTTGATAATCTGAGTTCATGAGCCTACTTACCTAGAACAATCAAATAGTCTAGATAAAGCTCTGCCATAGCAATAGAAAAGAATTACCTACCTACTGCCTTCGTTGTCTACTAGAATCCTATCAATTAGAAATCGGCAATAGAAAGCCCAAAGATATATCGAAGTATAGCCTTATTCACAAATATTGGTAATTTTAGTAACACTTAAGAAATAGAAGTACACTGTAAATCCTGGACATACAGGAAGAGGTGGCGAGAAGCTATAAAGTACATATCCTTGGAAGAAGGGTCTCACTTCAGAAGTTATACCAATTCTCAGAATTGCCTACATGATTTGACACATCATGAGCCTGCAACACTCTTATATGGATGAATACCAAAATACCTATACCGCAGGCATACCAGGAATCCATTCGCTTTACCGTTTCCTAATTTCCCTCAAACCTCACGAGACAATATCTAAATTCTAGTCTGTCAACTTCTCCGGTCACTCAATTTCTCAGAACTTATTACCAAGGTTCTGGCCAAATCTCTTGCCAGGTCTGAGAGATTTGAAAGCAGGGGACCAACAAATGAGCACAAAAACCACCGCGACGTGTAAAGGCACTTGAAAAGTCTACTTAGCTGTACAATCCTCCCATCTTCAATCATATTCTCGCATTCTCAAGGCGTAGCCCCATTAACTAATCTCTCCCCCGTCCCATTCTCCTCAGCAGGTCTCTCAGCCCCTTCCAAACTCCAATCCCTCACTGCTCCTTTCCAATCACTCACTCTCCCATTCGTAATCCTAACAGCAACAACCCTCACTCCCTCACCCTCAATGAAACTTCCCCTTCCCCCATCGCAATCCTCAGTCTGTCTCCAGCCCCTCTCCTCATCCCCAGTGAAAGTATTATTATCGATATGCTCCTCCTTATAGTATTTCTCCTCCTCCGTACCCGCCTCCACTAATCTCGCCTCGCCGTTTATCGTCGCGGATATACTGCTGATAGCGCTGGTATTCAAATTCAAGAGAAGAGTCGCGAGAGAAGACCGGGTGGCTTCTGGGGGCGGAGAACCGGTGGTGGAAGGTCGACGGGCGGAGGTAGTTGGCGGACGGTGGGAGACCCAGTCGTGGACTAGGAGAGAGACGTGAGGGTTGGAGATGAGATTGAGGGTTTTGCGAGAGTGTGGGTGAGTGGTCATTATTATTGTTGGGGAGGTGCTGTAGGGTGAGGTTGGTAGGTAGGTGTAGTTCATGAGGGAGACATGCGGGTATTGATCTAATGTCGTTGCCAGATGTAGCTGGCAGGTTGTATAAGCAGATGCAATTTTGCAGAAAGTCAGGAGTGAGGATTTCACTTACGAATCGAGCATTTTGTAGACACTGTGCTACTTCATCTGGGAGTGTGTTGGTGATTTGGAGGTTGGTTGTACCAGCGGACGGCTCGGAGAAGAGCGGCGTTTCCGTCGCCATCTTTGAATATGTGTGTAAAAGAAAGAGCGTATAATGGCGAGCGTGAAGCTATAGCTACTCTGAGTAGGCGTTTTTATATCCGTTTTTCGTGGTAACGTGTCGATGTCGAATCTTTGGTTGTTGTTTGGAAGGACATCGGGACGATCGAGGGGCAGATCGAAGCTAGACAACATCCCTGTCCATTTCTAATTCTGTCAATGGAATCTATTATTTCACTCCAGCAGCTTGTATTGAGATGACAGCATCAGTTTTTGACTACAAAGAAAAAACTAGAATGAATAAGGTATCGGACTTGAAGCGAAGGGTCAACTTTCCATCTTTAATATATGAGTTTGTCTACCCTAGGCACTTACAAGTTCGGCAAACCTTCAACCCCACCCCACCTACGGATCCACAACCTGAAAAGTCCCACACAGGCACGTCAAAGGTTCGTATTACAGAATAAGCACCCGGAATTCAACAAAAAGAGATATCTCTCATAGGACAGGTGGCCGAGTGGTTATGGCGCGTGACTCAAGAACGCCTTCTGGCTTCTTCAGATCTTGGATCTGAGTATTCTCGTAGGGAAACCTGCAGGGGTTCGAATCCCCTCCTGTTCAACTCCAGATATTTCTTTTTTGCTGACCCGTAGCTTTTGGCTGTAGGTTGGGGAATTTTTTGAGCAATTCTAACCTATGGGAGTCAGGATTGGATTTTGGAATAAGCGAGGGAAGAATGACAAGGGTGTGGTGAAGAAGTTCAAAAGCCAAGACTCCTCTTACGAGCCAATTGATACTCCCATACAGTTTTGTAACTCACTGGATAATGCTTTGGAAGCGAGCGAGCAGTTGGAATATCAGATGGAAATGTATCAGGGACTTCTAACACACGTATTAGTCGTTTACAACTCAAAATTAGACCGGCTTGGCTGTTTACTATTCTCTTATTTTCATAAACATTTATGATTGTTTCCGAGAACCCCTGATGGCATTTCGGTTTTCCTTTCATTTCCAGGCAATCCCTCAAGTATGAAAAAGCAGGTAGATGAAAGTCTTGCTTCCCGCGGTAGACGTGATAAGTTCTTTGGGAACGATATAAGGAGTTTTTGGATGAACCTTCTTGCCACTCTTACAAGGTTTCTAGAATGTGACCGGCCCCATTACTAGCAGGGACTGGGAATTCCATCGTTCTAGTGCAATATCGTCTTTCCGTGAACCTTATTGCGATGATTGAGAGACATCAGAAGCACGCAAGCATATTCCTCGCACAACAGATACTACGTATGTTTCTAAAGAAACCAGAAACATGTATCCTCTCCGATTCTTCTTGACTTCTTAAATTCTCGAGATAAGATACAACTTGATGAATTAGAAAGTCTTGTGCCTGTTTCAAATACGTGAATGTAGCTCTTATCAAGTTTGTCTTTGAGTTGGAGTTTCTGTGCTTATCCGCTGTCGAGATGCTTTTGTTTTGGGGGACCCAATCACTTTCTTCAACCGGGCTTTTTGCCTCGGGATGACGTCATAAATGCCTGCAAAAGAGAGGTTTACCTTCCCGCGACAAGCATCCATGATCTTTGTCATTCATTGCTCTCCACGTAGCTGTTTCCACTGGCATCTGTAGGACAACTCATCAGTAGATAGAGAAGTATTGAATCAAGATACAGTAATTGGTCATAAATTGTGCTTAGATGAGGCTGCATCGGACTAGATCTCCACAGAAATCATCAGACGGCCCCTGCAGCTGCGAGCTTTTAGCACCACACCGGTCGCCGAGGTCCTCGTGGAGCGTTAAGTCGTCATCAACACCGCCGCACCTCAGCTTGTCAACTTCTCTCAACCTCACTTTACTCCCCTTCAGTCCAAGTACTCCATATCAACCTTGGATATCACCTTTCACCAACGTTGCCGCCAACACTCGCCTACCCCGCGTATCAGTGTTAGTCTCGCTTCCTGATCCCGACCGCTCGCGAACCAAAACGGAGGTATGTGTGTGTATGTCTCAAATCCTGTCCAGGACATCCCACCTCAATGTTTCAAAGAATGCCCATACCGAGAAAATCGAAGTGTTGATTCTGACAGGTCTTGATATAAAAGGTTCCGTCGCCACTTACTACCGGTCATCTCATACAGTGATTTTGTATACCAACTTCCATCATGTTTGGCGGTGGACTTCGTAGGTTCGATTGAATTCCTCCCTTGCGAATAAAATCAACTGACAGCTTCAAAAGGCGGTATCATGGGCCTTGTGTCCCTGATATTGATTGCCGGATCGATAGTCCTCATGTTTTTCGTCATCCTAAGTGGAGTGACTGGTACCACACCTCTTGATAAGACCTATTTCCTAGAAGCCGATACTACTAGGATCGACGGGCCCCGTCCCATCTCACAATGGACATACTTTTATATCTGCGGCCCAGGAAATACTGATTGCGGATCTCCCGTCCCAGCTTTACCAATTGGATACGCTTGGAATGGCGGGAACCAGGGTGCACCTTTTGAATTGGTGGGGTATGTTATGATCCTTGAAATATACTTCTTCACATGCTAACCTAATAACATAGCGATTACGGTAAGGGTACTACAAGCAAATACTTTTGGTACATGTGGCGATTTGGCTGGGTTTTCTACCTAATGGGTCTCATCTTCAATGTCATCAGTTTCTTCACTTGTCTCCTGGCACCCTTTAGTCGCCTTGCCTCTGGGGTTTCCGGCTTCTTTGTCGCAAACGCTCTTTTTTGGTTCACCATTGCAGCTTCATTGATGACGTACGTATCCTAGATATCAGAAGCTGGGGTTGTTTACTGATTTTCAAATAGAACTGTATTTGTCAAGGCTCGAGATGTCCTCATCAATAACGGACATCCAGCACGTGTTGGCCGCTGGGCCTTTGGTTTTACCTGGGGCGCATGGGCTGCCATGTTTTTAGCTACCATCTTTCTCTTTCTGGGCTGTGGAGCAGGTGGTAGCAGCAGCAGAAGTGTTCCAACTACTCGCGGTGGTATCTTTACCCGCTCAAAACATGGAAGCAGACGCTCTCGAGGCTCTTTCATCGATACTGATGGTACAAGACGGGTCAAAGATGATTATGCATAAGGCATCAATTCGAGTGAAGAATTGGAAGTGGAAATTATGAAAGAGAATGAGAAAACGACGGATTGGGTCTTGATTGATTTGGAAGATTGCGATGAACAATGGATGAATAGGGTGCATGTAGAGTTTCCGGGTGGTCTCAGCATTTAAATTACTTAATGTCTAGGTAGCAATATAAGAAATTAACATTGGAAATAAGACCTGCCTCATAAAATGCCATCTTGATATGTAAAAAATTGGTAGTAATCTGATTTCTATTCCAACGACTCTTCTTCACCGGATCGAGACCGGAGCGGGAATACTGCGGCTCGGTCGCCAACCGGAGTTTCTCTTGGCCATTCCATCCCACCACCACAGCCTCGCTCAACCCGAAGCCCCGTCACTTTTATCATCATCAAGTAGATTTGATGAGAAAGGAGTTAAAACCCAACTGTGCTATTCTGCCAGAATGGTGAACCCACTGGTTCCACCTCTCCTCCAACACATCCATATCCGTGGCCTCACGCCATTTTCTAAAATCCTCGCCCTCCAATCTAAACTCGTCGCAAAAAGCCTCCTCCACAAAGCCTCGCCATCCACGCATCCACCGTTGCTCCCAACAATAATATCCTTCACTCCACCTCCTATATATACCTTCGGACGACGATCCCCGCCTTCTCTTCTTAAACCCGAACAGATTGAGAAGCTTAAGGAGAAATTGTTGGATGATAACGCAGGTTTAAGGTTGGGAACGAATGTTGGTAAACCATATGAGGAGATCAAGCATACGCGTGTCGAGCTTGAGGCAGAAGTTGAGGCGACGCTGAGGGGGGGCTTAACGACGTTCCATGGACCTGGTCAGATTGTTATTTTCCCCATTCTGGACCTGAAGGCAGATAGCATCGTGAATCGACTCGGTGGGAATTACTGTGGAACAGGCTTGGATGCTAGGAGTTACGTTGAGTTACTCGAAAAGACGACCATTAGACTCCTCAACGACGAGTATGGGATCAATGCGAAACGGACGGAGAATCCGGGTGTTTGGGTCGATACCGCGAATTGGGAGGATCAGCTTACACCCTCCGGGAGGATTGAGGCGTTCATGAGGCACCTACGCAGGCAATCGAAAGGGCAGAACGGGTATGAAGCTTTCGACGAGAAGATTGCGGCACTAGGGGTGCATCACAGGAGATATGTCTCGTCTTTTGGGTTGGCCATTAATCATTCGACGGATATGAGGTGGTTTGACAGAATTACGGCCTGTGGGTTGCCTGGGAAGGGCACTACCTCTATGCGAGAGCTTAGTGGTAGAGCAAAGCTGGGAATAACAAGATCAGACCCCAGGATGAGAGAGGACCAGCAGATGCAGGTTGCACAGATGTGGGCAAGAATGTTTACCGGTGGGATTTGGGGTATTCGTGGGCCCTTTGGGAAGACGGCACATCCTATTTGGAAGGAGTTTGTAATGTCCAGAGTCTGGGGTTGGGATATGGGAGGAAGTGGGAAAGGTATGGGATTAGAAGAGGTGGATGAAGCAATGCTAGATTCAGCAGGGCAATGGCCGCTACCGGACGATCCCTCACCAAACTTGGTTCCTTGGACTCCGAAGGGGGAGCGCAGCGAGCAGAGAAAATCGTTGAACCTGCGTAGCAACCAATGGAGAACACATAATGTGTTGAAATGGCTGGACACGCAGATCAGTGAGATCCGGGAGCAGGTCGAAGGGAAAAAACTGATAGGGAAAGGAAAGACTCTAGAAGACATCCATAAGCGGCTCGTGAAAGAAACGAACCAACAGCTAAAGGCTCAGACCATCTTGATGAAGCAGGAAAATATTATCCGAGATCAGAAGAGGAGAAACGAAAGAAAATCGGTGGAGCAGCCGATGGAGGGGATGGCTGAACACACAGCTAGAAAACCCCGGGAAAATAATATCAGAGATCAGGAGGAGACAAGTGAACAAAGACCAGTGGATATGGTAGAGCCGATGGCCATCACAGATCAAAAGAGTGCAAGTAGAAAGAGGCTGCTGGCTAGGGTAGAGGAAATGGAGAGGACGGGTAAATACATATCCAGTAACCTCCGGAAAGGTGTTATCCGAATTCAGAAGAGGATAAGTCTCAGAGATAGGAAGAGGCACCCAAAACTTATAAAAAGGCAAGTGAATAAGAGGAAGGTGATGCTTCTCAGAGATCAGAGAAATGCGAGGAGAAGTAAAAGAAAGGCTCGTGGATCGGGTGAAGTCGATCAAGGGGATGGCTGAACATATAGCTGGGAAGACTCCGGCGCGTTCGGCATTCTTCTTGATCAAGATGATACTCTTGGGGGAAGGAAGAGAAGAGAGTTCGAGAATGAGTCGGAATCTACAGAGTCTGAATCACGAGTTTCATGACGAGAGATGCGTGTAATTACTACAGGAAGAAGCTGTATCGACTTTGTATAGATAGTTAGACCTCATCATATAAAAGCCTTGATGTAAAACTGCTATATTAAATCTTACCTATCTATAATATATCATTCTTCTCTACCGTCTTCGTAATACCTCGGACTATTAACTTTCTTTCGGAAACGTTCAGCGTTAGAAGAAACTACTCAACAACTTGAGTAATTGGCGAATTGAGTTGAGTAGGTCTAATAACTACTCTGAGTTAAGTTGAGTAGGTGCCACTACTTAACTCAACTTAACTCATTTATAACACTGGCAACGTTTCTCTTCCCTCATTTACTTAATACCTACTTTTTCTAAGACGTCGAATTATAAATAATTCTAAATCCCTACGTATCTTGTATCTCGTATCTATAAATCTACACTTCATCTAAGCGAGATCTCGCTTAACCTATTTACTACAAGTATATTAACCTCTCTTTCTTCTTTTTATTCAAACTTATAGTATAAAATACCCTCTCCTATCCAAAAGTATAAAAAGACTAACGTAAAGAAGAAGAAGAAGCAACGATCGGTAATTAGAATTCCATTCCATTCCAGAGGGGGGGTGTGGAATATTCTATTCCATTTGGAATAATTCTAGAATTCTTCCATTCTATACCCCCTATTCCACTGGAATTCCATAGAACCAAGTCACATGACCCGGAAAAGGGTCCACCCGGTCCGGTCAACTAATAGGAAGGCAGGATTCTACCGGGTTAATAGTTAGCGCGTCTTCCTACTACGTATAAGCGATAGGGAGTATAACTAGTATTAACTACTAACAATTATATATTCTTATTAATACTATAAATAAATATCGTAATATAGTTAGTATATATACGACTACTATAGATATATTAGAGGAAGTAACGAATAGAATAAGAGAAATTAAGTATAAGGAAGTTATATTATATCCCTTCTAGATAATAAAGTGCTAGGAAAAACGTGTACTAAAAGTAGAGTAAAAGTAGAGTAAAATATCTATTTTTCTAATATCTTCTCCGTAAAACAAAGTCGTTTAGCTAACTAAAACACGTTACTAAGTATTTAAGCCTTACTTTAACCTAGTTAACTATCTTGTCGCTATAATATCCGAGTAAATATACTCGGTAGCACGGACCACCTAACTAGGCTAGTCCTGCCTATATTATAGTAGTACGACTTCTATACCTTTAACTCGGTATATATTAATAATAGGAATAGTCTAATACTAAGGTTTAGCCTCTTCTTATATTATACCTCTTATATTGAATAATAAGTTAAACTAATACTACTTAGTATTATATATATATATATATTAGAGACTTATAATACTTTTAAGACTTTATTTATAAAGCTATTCATACTGTAAATAAGCTAAAAGTACTTAATAACTCTACTACTATAAAATACTAGAATACTACTATACTACCTTAACTACCTTCTAAAAATATACTATAGATACTAGAGATAGTAGAGTACTTATATTATCTTTCTAAATAATAGTAGATACTACTACTAGTAATCTAGATAGTTTCCTACCTTAGCTAGGTAAAGGAGACTATTTACTAACTAAATAAAGTTTAAGTTAAGTACTTAAACTAAGTAATTAAATCTTAGTAATAATATAAAGAATAATCTAGATTATCTTAAACTAACTTAAAGAATATAGAGACTTTAGGATATTAAGAAATATATTTAAGGTTAACTTAATAATTTTACTTAAATAACTAGAAATCTAAAAACTTAATAAGATAAAGTAAATAAGATAGTATCTAAATATTTAGATTTTAGTTTTAATAGATCTATTAATTAAGTACCCTTAATTATAAATAGTCTACTATACTAATATACTAATATGTAACGAATACTCAAACTGGCTAACTAAACTTGGCTGGGTGTTCGCTGGTTGGTATGCTATGATAAGAAGAAGANTATACTCCGGTAGTATAGAGTAGTATAAGCCTCCCTTATACTTCCTCATACTCCCTAGTCACATGATCTTCTGTAAGGAAGAAATCCTTGGATCGCCTAGCTACCCTAAGCGATCCCCATTTGCTATAAGAAATCTGAATGTGCCTGTCGAGGGTTGCGCCTCTTATTATGACAAGTATCACGTGAACACGTGATTCGTGACATAATAATAGTAATCCGGTTAGGAATAAGATATCTATAATAGAACCTAATTCTAACTAGTTTATAAAAATAATAATTAATAAATACTAGGATAGTATAATTTAAAATAAGGAACTTATACTTAGGATTTTCGAGACTAGACTTTATAATACTTTAAGAGTTATAATATAGATATTTATAGATTATTCTACTTAGTGCTTTATTAATAAGAAGTATTAGTAGCGCTAAGTATTAATAAACTTCTAGTTACCTAGGTACTATTTAATATAGTATAGAGAATAGAAGAGTATATATAACCTTAGGAATAAGTAGTATATATAGTATAAGAGGGTATATTAAAGTCGAATATACTATATACTAGATTATAAGATATTAAGCTTTTTATAATAATTAAAGACTAGCACTTTAATATCTATAGTATAGGTTTATAGAAGTCAAAATCTAACTAGGTATAACCTTAACTATAATTATAAACTAAACTAAACCTAGTACTAGATCTAGTAGTATTATAACTATATAAACTACTACGATCTCTACTTAAGAATAAGATAACTCTTTTTATATTAAAGAGTACCTTTAATAATAAGCTAAATTTTATACTACTATCTCCTAGTACTCTTAAACCTAATATCTAAAGCTAAACAAGTTATATATTTAATAGTAATAATAATATAGTTACTACTAGAGTACTAGAATCAATTCTATAATAAAAGGCTTAATTATATATAGGTTATTATTAGGCTTAGTCTTAATGGGGTAAGGGTAATATATAACTAAATTAGGCTATATAAGCTACTCTTTAAAATATACTATAACTATAAGTACTAGGATATCTACCTAGATATAGTAGTAATATAACTATTTTAAACCTAGTACTAAATCTATAAGTTTTGTAAGGTTTCCCGCTACTACTAGCTTAAGGCTATATATAGCTTTAATAATATAGATAACTACCTAGTAGATACTAGTAGAACTTCTTATAAATAGGTCTTATCTATCTTTAATAGTTTAGTTATAATCTAGTTAGACTATTACTATCTTTAGGTATTAATTTAGACTCTTAAGTAATTTAGAGTCTTATAAAGATATATTAAGATAGTATAAAGTACAGTAGTATTACTAATATTTTTAATATAAAACTTAAGATATTTTATATTACTTATAACTAATATAAAGTAACTTAAGACTATTTTATAAAAGCTTTTCTAATTATACTTAAGAGAGCTATATTAAACTATTATTACTATATGATTCTTAGATAGAACTTTAATTTTATAACTAATATATAAGCAGTATAAGATAACTTTAAGAACCTAGGTTGTAAGAGATATTTATAAGATAAATAACATAAATATATACTTAAATATATTAAGAGAGAGAATCTAGATAAAATATTATTATAATATTTTAATATTATAATAAGTAAGCTAAGAGAGATTTAGCTAGGATTAAGTCTATTACTTTAATAAGATAACAACTTCTACTAGAGTATTATCTATAATACTTAAGAGAGTATTAAACATAAAATAGTTATTATAAACCCTCTAAATATAATTTTAGACTTTAAATCTAACTTTAAGAATATAATATTAAGTTATAAGTTTTATACTAAAATAACTTATAAAAAGGGTTATATTAAAAGAACTTATAAAATAAACTCTACTAAATAATCTATAAACTACCTTATATCTTTAGTAAAAGTATATTATATAAATAGAACCTACTATAGACGCAATTAGTAGAAAAATAGTAATTTTATAAGTAGATATTAGATATATAAAAAGCTAGGTTATAGGTTATTTAAGTACTTATAGGAGGAATAGGATTCTTAGAAAGATAAGTTTTAAACTAGGTTCTATAGTAAGTTTAAGGGAGATTACTATAAGAAAGACTTTAATAAGTAGTATAGTACTTTTATTACCTAATTTAAGTCCTAGGAGATAAGTAAATTAACTACTATAATATATATAATAAGTCTTGAGGATTCGGATAATAACTTATTATTAAGTTCGAGTTTAAGTAATAATAACTTTAGTGAGAGTAAAGGTATACCTTTTTATAGTATTATAGAGTATTTTATAATTAATATACTTGGTAATACTAACGTAAGATAGCTTATTAACTAATTAAACTATATATTTACTATATACTAGCTTAGGTTTTATACTATATACCTAGAGATTATAAGAAGCTAAGATTCTAGAGTTATAGTAGTACTTTAATAAACAGGGTACTTCTACCTATAATACTATTATACTAAAGACCTAAAAACTTTTATAGTATTATAATTAATACTAGTATATTTACTTTTAACTTAGTTAGATATAATTCGTATTATATATACTATTTAATTAATAGTTCTCTATTAAAACTAAGTAATATATAACATATAGACCGCGGTTATAGAACACGGTTATATAGTTATATAACTCGGCGGCCGCCGAGCCTCTATACTTAGTCGGCTAGATAGTTTAGTTAGTTATCTAAGTCTCTTTTATATCTTTATACTATACTATATAGTACCTTTAATAGATAGTAGTAATACTCTATTACTATTATGTCTTAGTATATTCGAGTCTTTTACTAGCTACGTCTTTAGTACTAGTCTACTAGTCTGTCCTAGACTTATAAACACAATCCGATCGACCTCCGGGGGGTCTAAAACCCTACGCCTTATATCAGAAACCATAATTAGTAACGAACTTACCTTCTATAAACCT